TCTGTGGGAATTTTTTTTTTTTTTTTTTTTTTTTTCAACGTCGGAGTGTTTTTTGTGCAAAAAAAAAGAAAGAAAAAACGGAATAATCACAAACATAAATATGGAGTGAAGGATGGAGGGAATGAGGGGAAAGGAAGGATTGTAAAAACCGATTTCTGTGGAGGACAGTAGTGTGGAATTTATGACTATAAAAAGGCTGAATACAGAGATATTTTTGGCCAAGGCCGGAACCTGGTCTTCAAAACTTCATGAGTAAAAGCTCAAGTTCTTTTTCAGATTTATGGAATAGTCGGGAGACACTTTGGCAAGCAAGGATTCGAGGAATTGAAGCATGTTGGTTATTTTAGCTTCGTATTATTTTCTTCCTAACTTTGGTGGCATTAACTTTGGAACTCTTGGGTTACTGGTGTGATTAATTCATAAGAAAAATTAGGACTGTCCGGTCCTCTTATGCCAGAATGTGCTAGTGTTTGCGGAATCGGCCAAAAGCTGAATTTTTAACTCGACATTAAGGAACATTATACAATAATCGAATTACAGTCTGTATAGCACAGTTCGTTTTTATGCGTTTTTTGCATCTATGCAATGAAAATAATTGGCTAACACACGGGCTGCCCGTGCGAAGATGCGTTTTTTGCATAGCTCCCCGCAGATTTTTGTCACTAACGGCACTGGTTTTTCCGGCAGATGCTTCTAGCTAAAAAAATTTCAGACTGGCCGCCAGGACTGTCAGAAAACATCCCTTCAAAATTCCGGTCTGCTAGCTTCTCAGGTCTTCGATTTATGAACTTGCCCGAAAAAAATTTTGGCGGGCCCTAACGCAGGTACCACGCTTACCGGGGGGCTGGGAATGAGCTCATTAATACTCACTTGGACGGGGAACATCCCCTTAAGATTTCAGCCTTCTAGCTTCTCAGAGTCCCGAGTTATCAGCTCACCCGAAAAAAATGTTGGCGGGCCCGTGCGTGGGTACCACGCTTCCCCGGGGACTGATTTTGAGCTCATTAATGCCTCTTTGGACGAGAAACATCCCCCTAAGGTTTCAGCGTTTTAGCTTCTCAGGTCCCCGAATTATCGTAAAAAACTTTGGCGAGCTCGTACGTGGGTACCATGCGGGTAAGGGCGCCCATTTTGGGGATTGAGGCCCGTACGTGCATGTAGATTAAGTTCCCAAAGTTTCGGCCCTTTAGCTTTTGTAGATCTTGAGATGAAAAATCGGTACGGACGCACACACAGACACACGGACACACAGACACCCCCTCGTCATTATGCGTTTTCTGCATTGAATAGCTGCAAAAAACGCGTAAAAACGCACATTGATGAGGGGTTTTCTCTGTGTGCGTCTGTATCGATTTTTCATCTCAAGACTTATAAAAGCTACAGGGCTGAAACTTTGGGAACATAATTTACATGCACAGACGGGCACCAGTCACCAAATGGACACTCTTATCCGCGTGGTGCTACGGGCTCGTCAAACTTCCTGGCAGGTAAGCTGCTAATTCGGGAACTAGAAAAGCTAGAAAGCTGAAATTTTAAAGAGATGTTCTCCATCCATGTAGGTCCTAATGAGTTTAAACCTAGTCCTCGAGTATACGTGGTTCTCACGCAGGGGCCCGTGTAAGTTTTGTTCGGACAAGTTGTTAACTCGGGGACCTGAAGAGCTAGAAGACTGGAACTTTAAGGGGATGGTTTCTGACAGTCCTGGCGGTCAGTCTCAATTCTTTTAGCTAGAAGCATCTGCCGGAAAAACCAGTGCCGTTAGCGACAAGAATCTGCGGGAAACTATGCAAAAAACGCATTTTTGCAACAGCAGTCGGTGCGCTGAGCATTCGTTATGTTACCTCCCAGCCGTTTCCGAGAATGTTGTAGGCTCGATAGCTGTTACGAGCTGCAGTGCATAGTTTAAGAATGATTGTCAAAAACAGGCCACTATAGTATAACAGGGCTTGTAATTAGTATGCTTATTATCTGTTTAAATCTTCATAGCACTGGAGTTCAGGCGTCTTCATTGTTATTTGTTTGTTGACAATCGTTGTCGATTTTCTTACAGGAACTTCATTCAGAAAGTTAAGTAACCACTGAGTTATGTCTTTGATCTTTTCATTGCTAGGAACTTGTCTCCAGTAAGGGCTTATTTGGATATACTTCATTTAGTCAGCTTAACCTTTTTTCTGATATTCTGTTGCAGATTTATGAAACAGCTGGATTCGGCGAAATAGAACGAAACTGTATTGTAGCAATGTCACAGACAGCGGATCCGGAATTACTGAAGACTGTTTTTAAATACGGCATCAAAGATGTAAAGTTTACCATCCAATATTTTTATTATATATATTTGTTGCTATTAATAATTTAGGTGTTTGTCGTGTAGGATGACTGATTGATGACACTTCGATATGCGATTGTTTCATCTTACCTCACCTTCTTGTAACCAATGCACCTAGTAGTCTGCTCATGGCTGTTGTAACTAAAACTACATCTTTGATACCTTACTTTGAATACCTTGAAAAGCTGTTGTTTCATCGATCTCTGATGTCACGCCATCGATGCAGCTGGTAACTTCTCCATTTCGATCGATCCTGAGCCTGACGAT